ACATATTACCTCAACTACCTCAACTAGCCGGTGCCCCTGCACATTGACTCTGCAACGGTACCCCCCTGTATATATAGCCTCCCTACTGTCACTTTATTTTACTTCTGCTCTTTTTTTTCTCAACACTTTTTTGTTGTTGTTGTTTTATTTTTAGAATTTTTTGTTTAAAATAAATGCACTGTTGGTTAAGGGCTGTAAGTAAGCATTTCACTGTAATGTCTGCACCTGTTGTATTCGGCGCATGTGACCAATAACATTTGATTTGATTTGATTTGACTAAATACTTTTTTTCCCCACTGTATGTACATGTGATATTTCAGTTTTCTATCAATTATAAATTAGCAAAAATGTTAAAAACCTGTTTTTGCTTTGTCATTATGGGGTATTGTGTGTAGATTGATGAGGGAAAAAAACAATTTAATCAATTTTAGAATAAGGCTGTAAGGTAACAAACTCCCGAGTGGTGCAGTGGTCTAAGGCACTGCATCGCAGTGCTAGCTGTGCCACTAGAGATCCTGGTTCGAATCCAGGCTCTGTCGTAGCCGGCCGCGACCGGGAGACCCATGGGGCGGCGCACAATTGGTCCAGGGTAGGGGAGGGAATGGCCGGCAGGGATGTAGCTCAGTTGGTAGAGCATGGTGTTTGCAACGCCATGGTTGTGGGTTCGATTCCCACGGGGGGCCAGTATGAAAAAAATTATAATGTATGCACTCACTAACTGTAAGTTGCTCTGGATAAGAGCGTCTGCTAAATGACTAAAATGTAAATGTAACAACATTTGGAAAAGGTCAAGGGGTCTGAATACTTTCCAAAGGCACTGTATATGACAAGTACTGGAATCAATAGAAAAAACACAAAAAAATGGGAAACCAGGCCTGGTATTCATAGCTGACTTTGAAAAGGCTTTAGATAAAGTACGACTGGAATTTATGTACACTGTAAATGCCTGGAATATTTCAATTTAGGAGAATCTCTTATACAATGGGTTAAAGCTATGTAGAGTAACCCTAGGTTTAAAATAGTAAAAAATGGCTACTTCTCAGAAAGTATTGAACTGTCAAAAGGAGTAATACAAGGTTGTCCACTATCGGCATATCTATTTATTATGGCCATCAAAATGTTAGCTATTAAAATCAGATCCAACAATAATATCAAGGGCCTAGAAAACCAGGGCTTAAAAACAATGATGTCATTGTACACTGATGATTCATGTTTTCTTTTAAATCCACAATTTGGATCCCTCCACAGCTTCATAGATGATCTAGATACTTTTTCTAACCTCTCTGGATTACAACCAAATAAAATGTTCTGACGTGAGGTGAACATACTCGGTATTCATATCCCGAAAGAAAGAAATGATCTACAATACATTTCAATAGAAAGTTAGCAAAAATAGATAAGATCTTGCTACTGTGGAAAGGAAAATACGTGTCTATTTGTGGAAAAATCACCACTCTTTAGTCATATCCCAGTTTACCTATTTGCTTATGGACTTGCCTACACCTAACAACTTGTTTTTTAAATTATATGAGCAAAGCCAGCCAAAATTAAACTGGCCTATTTATATAATGAACATGTCTTCGGAGGGCAGAAATTATTAAATATTAAAGCATTTGACCTCTCACTAAAGGCTTCAGTCATACAAAAGCTATACTTAAATCTTAGTAAGAATGGCATACCCCGTGTTCAAGAATGGCCTTTTTCCCTTTATTCAGATTACAACCTCCACTTTCGGTTATTTGAAAATGAAATAATCTCCAAAATATCACTATTTTTAAAACAAGCCATAGAAAGTTGGTTGCCATTTAAGTTTAATCCACCAGAAAAGACAGAACAAAAATTACAAAAAATATTGTGGTTAAACTCAAATATATTAAATGATTAAAAAAACATACATTTTGGATAGTAAAAAAAACCAAATGTTATAATCTTTGTAAATTATATCATAAATAGGACTGGTGGAGTTATGTCACACATGCAGCTAACAAAAATATATATAGATATGTCTGCTCTGCTCAAAATTACAACCAACTAATTACAGCATTACGGCAAAAATGGAAGAGGCAAGTGGAAGGGGGAGAGAGTAAGGAACTTGTCTGCATTTAAGACCAAAATTGGCTAAAGAAAATTGTGATGAATACAAAAGTGTACCAGGACCAAACAATTGACAGCTGTGCCATATAGATTGCAAAATAGTTGGGAAGAGATTCCATGGCTCATGGTTTATGAACTGATACAAAAAACAATGCTTAGAGTTTTTCTATTTAAATTATTATACAACATTCTTGCAACCAATAGAATGTTATATATATTGGGATACAACCATCCCTGCTCTGCAGATTTAGCTGCGAAGAGACAGAATGATTAGATTATTTGTTTTGGTACTGTCCATATGTAGCTTGTTTTTGGCCGCAGGTTCAGGAATGGCTGAAGAATTGCAACATTTACCTGGACCTCTGCAAATAGCACTGCTGGGTGATTTAAAAAGTCAATCGATCAATAATTATAATAATACTCTTAGCAAAAATGTTTATTGAATAGAAATTAAAACAGGATGGGACTGATAACTATTGTAAAATATACTGTGTCCGTAAAATGTATATAGAATGTATAAACTGGAAGTAGAAGCCTGAGTGTTGTTGTCCATTAGTGTACTCCAAATAGGGGAGGGATGGTAGGGTTAGGGGAAAATAATAAAGGACATATAAACATATAAAAATATATGTAATTTATATACAGTACCAGTCAAAAGTTTGGACACACCTACTAATTCAAGGGTGTTTCTTTATTTGTACTATTTTCTACATTGTAGAATAATAGTGAAGACATCAAAACTATGAAATAACTATGAAATAACCAAAAAAGTGTTAAACAAATCAAAATATATTTTATATTTGAGATTCTTCAAATAGCCACTCTTTGCCTTGATGACAACTTCGCACACTCTAGGCATTCTCTCAACCAGCTTCACCTGAAATGCTTTTCCAACAGTCTTGAAAGAGTTCCCACATGTTGGCTGATTTTCCTTCACTCTGCCGTCGGACTCATCCCAACCATCTCAATTGGGTTGAGGTCGGGGGATTGTGGAGGCCAGGTCATCTGATACAGCACTCCATCACTCTCCTTCTTGATAAAATAGCCCTTACACAGCCTGAAGGTGTGTTGGGTCATTGTCCTGTTGAAAAACAAATGATTGTCCCACTAAGCCCAAACCAGATGGGATGGCGTATCGCTGCAGAATGCTGTGGTAGCCATGCTTGTTAAGTGTGCCTTGAATTCTAAATAAATCACAGACAATGTCACCAGCAAAGCACTCCCACACCATAACACCCCCTACTCCATGCTTTACAGTGAGAAATACACATGCGGAGATCATCCGCTCACCCACACCGTGTCTCACAAAGACACGGGTGTTGGAACCAAAAATCTCAAATTTGGACTCTTTCCACCGGTCTAATGTCCATTGCTCGTGTTTCTTGGCCCAAGCGAGTCTCTTCTTCTTATTGGTGTCCTTTAGTAGTGGTTTCTTTGCAGCAATTCGACCATGAAGGCCTGATTCACACAGTCTCCTCTGAACAGTTGATGTTGAGATGTGTCTGTTTTTTTTTTGTTTTTCTTTTTTTGGGGGGGGGGGGTAGATGTGTCTGTTACTTGAACTCTATGAAGCATTTATTTGGTCTGCAATTTCTGAGGCTGGTAACTCTAATGAACCTATCCTCTGCAGCAGAGGTAACTTCCATTCCTGTGGTGGTCCTCATGAGAGCCAGTTTCATCATAGCGCTTGATGGTTTTTGCAACTGCACTTGAAGAAACTTTCAAAGTTCTTGACATTTTCCATATTGACTGACCTTCATGTCTTAAAGTAATGATGGACTATTGTTTCTCTTTGCTTATTTGAGCTGTTCTTGCCATAATATGGACTTGGTCTTTTACCAAATAGGGCTATCTTCTGTATACCCCCCCCCCCCCCCCCCCATGTGACTACCTCATGAAGCTGGTTGAGAGAATGCCAAGAGTGTGCAAAGCTGTCATCAAGGCAAAGGGTGGCTATTTGAAGAATGTCAAATTTAAAATATATTTTGATTTGTTTAACACTTTTTTGGTTACTACATGATTCCATGTGTTATTTCATAGTTTTGATGTCTTCACTATTATTCTACAATGTAGAAAACAGTAAAAATAAAGAACAACCCTTGAATGAGTAGGTGTGTCCAAACTTTTGACTTGTACTGTACATAAAAAAATACAAAAAAACAAATATAAGCCATAAAATAATAAAATGTTCAAAATCTTTCATCATTGTTTTATAGTCCTAGTTAAAGTCTCTTTCATCAATAACGTTTTTTTCATGATTAGTGTATTTATTATTATTTTATTTATGATTTTCTGTGTGTCCCTGATACCACTTTCCACCCTGTTAGTTTGTTGTATTTCTCCATTTAAGAAAACAACCCCTTCCTACAATGACCCCACATTCAGGAAGTGTCATAATTTCTTTGGTGGGAAAACTATGGTGCAAAGCTAAATAAATATAAACCCTAATTTTCATCAATTTGTCCATGTTCATGTTGTTAGTCTGTGTCCCACTCATACATTTCCACCCTGTTAGGCTAAATTATATAGAAAAATAATAATAATTCAAAGTGTTAAAACATGTTTGATAGAGAAGTTAAAATCCTGTTTAAGTGTTCACCATTATGCTAGCTCAATCTTGCTCACTCACAGAGCTATGGCTAATTTAGGTTAAACATTTCCACCCTGTTAGGTTCCACCCTGTTAGGATTATGCACCTAACAAATTGGAAAATGCACCCAAAAATGTTGACGTGCCTGAGCTTGACCAATATGTTTTTCTGAAAGAATATATATATTTTTATATATATTTGTAAAAATTCTAAAGTTTTGAGGTCCAAATTGTACCGCATTGTAGGAATGACCCGGCTATGCAGACTCACTGACACACCAGAACAACATTACCCAGGCTCCCTTGCTTCCTGTACCTTTATTCGTGTTGGCCTGCCGATCCTGATCCAGCTCCTGAGCTTCGTTGCTATTGGTCCATTCTCCCGGTGACATGTCCTGTCGATAACCGTACTTGTGCTGCAACACAGAGCAGGAGGAGGAGCTAATGCAACATCAGCCAATCAACAGTAAGATATTTACACACCGGGAGAGTGTTGGAACTATTGGCCATATGGTTACCCAAACACAGAATGCATTAGATAATATGCATTAGTGTGGAATGCAATGATGGTTGGAAGTAGATCCGGCATAAGCCGAAAAGAGTACGGTCTACACACTAAAATGACAGACACAGCACTAGCACAGGGACTAGCACAATCACATCAGTACCACATCACTACAACGACTGGCGCACATACAGCATGGTAAAGGAACCACTAGCTGTGGATGGATCCACACACCTCCATTCACAACCTTACCGTTCCTATGGGAACCTGCAACTCGCCCTAAGCTAAGTCGTAGCCTCCAAAAGCACCCAGTACATTAGAATGGGTAAGATTTAAAATACTTAAAATTGGTTTTTCTATTTTGTTTGATATTGTTGCTTTAGATCTTATTGAATAATTACAGATCAACTGAATCAATTCCAATTTAATGAAGAGTTTTTGGTATCAACCATAGTAAGTGATTGATTGACATCTGTTTCACAGCAGACTAAAGAGAAGCCAGAGACACCAATTAGAACAATCACTTCTGTTGCAGGTGCTGTTGGAGAGCAGATACAGGCCGAGATGGAGGGAGGGAGAAAGGGAGAGAGAGAGAGAGAGAGAGAGAGAGAGAGAGAGAGAGGGAGAGAAAGAGAGAGAGAAGGAAGGAAGATAAGGTGGAATAGTAGCGCTAGAACAGATGGAGATGTGTGACCATGTGTATGGCGGAGGGATGGGGTGATGGTGAAGCGGGTGATGGAGGGGGGTGGGGGGGGGGGGCTGGCGTAAAAGGAGTGTGTGTGGTAGAGCTTAGAGCTCTGTTGTTTTAGGGGTCTGGGAGTGTTTATGGGGAGGACAAGGATGGCTTCCCCCAATCCTTACTTTACCCATTAGGGGGACAAAAACAAATATGTCCCTGAATCAGTGGTTATGGACAACATCTACCAGCTTGGGTGAGTGACAGGGGGCGTGGCAGGGTTGGGAACTCCCTCCCATCCTCCCGTCACCAAATACCTTTCTGCCGCGGGACTCTTCGTCGTCAACGTAACCGTCATCCAGGCCCTGGCTGCGTAGCCAGGTGGAGCTGTCAAAGGGCTGACGGGGGAGGGAGGGGAGCAACTCCAGGGGGTAGTAGGATTTGGGAAGTGGTGGCCGTGGCGGGCCAATGTCCTTAAGCCACAGGAAGGAGGAAGAATAAGAGGAAGAGAGGGAAGGAAGAAAGGAAGGAAGGAGGGAGGAGGATGGTAGGAGGAGGAAGAGAGAGCGCTGTGCATCAGGAGGAGTGACAAAAGCCAGGCGGAGTGCAGAGCAGAGAGGATCATGGAACGATATGAGGATTGGAGCCCCGACCCCAATGAACTTCAGGGGTGAAGGGTCACAGGTGTCCAATGAGATGCCTGGACTGAGAGCTAGCATGAATGCACATACTGAATTCTAATAAGATTAGTAGTACTGATACAGACCACTGATAGCTGCTGAATATGAAAAACAAGATAGAAAGTAGCGCTACAATTTCCAATCAGTTACAATCATTAAGCAACATAGATGATACATTATATGATGATTATATACATTATATGATGATTATATGATTCACAAAATAGACTGTTGCTTTCTGCTCTTGAACACTATAATTCAAATGTCAGCATAGTGTGATTATGAGCTTCACGCATACAGAGAGAGTTGGCTGAGAGCCAGAGGAAGGCAGAGCACAACAGTTTAATTCTAAAACAGGAGGATCCAACTCCAGTCCCAGAGCGCTTCAGTATATTCGGAACTATACTGAACAAAAATATAAACTTTAACACGTAAAGTGTTGCTCCCATGTTTCATGAGCTGAAATAAAAGATCCCAGAAACGTTCCATATGCACAAAAAGTATTTTTCTCTAAAATTTTGTGCACAAATTTGATTACATCCCTGTTAGTGATTATTTCTCCTTTGCCAAGATAATCCATCCACCTAAAAGGTGTAACATATCAAGAAGCCGATTAAACAGCATGATCATTACACAGGTGCACCTTGTGCTGGGTTCAATAAAAGGCCACTCTAAAATGTGCAGTTTTGTCAGACAAGACAATGCCACAGATGTCTAAAGTTTTGAGGGAGCATGCAATTGGCATGCTGACTGCAGGAATGTCCACCAGAGCTGTTGCCAGATATTGTAATATTAATTTCTTTACCATAAGCCGCCTCCAACGTGGTTTTACAGAATTTGGCTTTTACAGAACCAGCCTCACAACCACAGACCATGTGTAACCACACCAGCCCAGGACCTCCACATCTGGCTTCTTCACCTCCGGGATTGTCTGAGACCAGCCACCCGGATAGCTGATGAAACTGTGGGTTTGCACAACAGGAATTTCTGCACAAACTGTCAGAAACCGTCTCAGAGAAGCTCATCTGCGTGCTCGTCGTCCTCACCAGGTTCTTGACCTGACAGCAGTTCAGCGTCGTAACCGACTTCAGTGGGCAAATGCTCACCTTTGATGGCCACTGGCACGCTGGAGAAGTGTGCTCTTCACGGATGAATCCCGGTTTCAACTGTACTGGGCAGATGGCAGACAGCGTGTATGGCGTCTGTGGGCGAGCGGTTTGCTGATGTCAACGTTGTGAACAGAGTGGCGGTGGGGTTATGGTATGGGCAGGTATAACCTACAGGCAACGAAAACAATAGCATTTTATCGATGGCAATTTGAATGCACAGAGATATCGTGACGAGATCCTGAGGCCCATTGTCGTGCCATTCATCCACCACCATCACCTCATGCTTCAGGATGATAATACACGACTCCATGTTGCAAGGGTCTGTACACAATTCCTGGAAGCTGAAAATGTCCCAGTTCTTCCATGGCCTGCATACTCACCAGACATGTCACCCATTGAGCATGTTTGGGATGCTCTGAATCGACGTGTACGATTTGATTAAGGAGGAAAACACATATGTCATCTGCTTGTCATCCTCATAGCAAAGTGGATCAGGAGATATGTGAAGGCTCTGTGTTGGCCGGTGGAGACACACAGACAGGCAGTCCGGCTGTCCTAACCAGGTCGTGCTCCTTAGATTAGAGATCAAGGAAAATGTGCGGATGGGCCCTGGTTAATACTAATAACAGTGCTACACAGTGTTACACATAACTTTTTTGACATCACCTTTTCTGACCTTTTCTGGCAGAGAAAGAGCTTATTGATGTTGACATGGCCCTAGAAATAAAAATTTAACGACATGCAGGCTGAGAACTCCTGACTAATTTTTCACTGAGAATGTCAGTGAGGATTCCCTGAGCCTGCTGGACACAGAACTTTGTTAACCAGTTACTGACTAGGACCATTAGTCAACCTCAGCTTTATACTTTACTTCAGAAAGCATAACACATTCTGCTTCAAACCTCTAGTTTTGCTTCTTACTATTGGCAATACAAAGTAATATAAGATGCATCATCATAATACAGTAAGTACAACATCACATTAGAACTGTTATTGTATCAAGTCTGTCTGGTGTGTGCTACAACTGCTGCAACCCATCTTAAACATCTTAAATCTTACAGTACAGTCCATCAGGTCTAGAGATGGGTCTGCCTGTACACTCTGGCCCAAGGCCTGTTGTTTGGGTGGCTGTGGTACCGGGGTGTGTGATGGTACAGGAGTGTGTGGTGGTACCGGGGTATGTGGTGGTACCAGGGTGTGTGATGGTATCGGGGTGTGTGGTGGCACCGGAGTGTGTGGTGGTACCGGAGTGTATGGTGGTACCAGGGTGTGTGATGGTATCGGGGTGTGTGGTGGCACCGGGGTGTGTGGTGGTACCGGAGTGTATGGTGGTAACAGGGTGTGTGATGGTACCGGAGTGTGTGGTGGTACCGGGGTGTGTGGTGGTACCGGGGTGTGTGATGGTACTGGGGTGTGTGGTGGTACCGGAGTGTATGGTGGTACCAGGGTGTGTGATGGTATCGGGGTGTGTGGTGGCACCGGGGTGTGTGGTGGTACCGGAGTGTATGGTGGTAACAGGGTGTGTGATGGTACCGGAGTGTGTGGTGGTACCGGGGTGTGTGGTGGTACCGGGGTGTGTGATGGTACTGGGGTGTGTGGTGGTACCGGAGTGTATGGTGGTACCAGGGTGTGTGATGGTATCGGGGTGTGTGGTGGTACCGGGTTGTGTGGTGGTACCAGGGTGTGGGGTGTACCATAAGCACCTGGCTTGGTGGCTGTGTGGCTGTGGATGTGTACTGTCACTAAGGGCTGCCTGGATTGCTTGACTGGTACTGAGGTTGGTGTTGGTGTTGGGGTCTGTGTTTGGTTGGGTGTCCACAGTATTTCTAAGGTCATGCTGGTTGGCTCGAGGGGTGTGCAGTTTTGCATGTTTCTGGGTGTCTGTACTCTCTACAGGGGCTAGCTGGTTGGCTTGGTTAGTGCTAGGGTGGGAGTTTGACTCAGGACACAGGTGGACATTTGGTTCAAGACCAGGGTGCCTACTTTGCTCAGGACTTTGTTAGGTGTTAAGTAGGGATTTAAGTTCAGGAACGGGACTGGATGCCTAAGTACAGGACCTGGTACTGTGTTTCAGGACTGAGGGCCCTGGGCTGGGTGCGAGGTAAGGAGTGTATAAGGGGGTCTTTGGTGTTTGGGTCAGGACTCAGCTGGGTGTTTGGGTCAAGATTCAGGTGGGTGTTAGGTTGAGGACTCAGTGGGTGTTAGGTTGAGGTCCTGGGTGGTGACCCAGGTGGGTGCGTGGGTAGTAGGAAGAGGCAGTGCTTACCTCAGGACCGAGTTGTTTTGTGGGAGAGGCCTGGGAACCGGGCAATGGGGAGAAGGGGCTGAGCGGACTGGTGAGGCTTACTGAGCTCAGGGGACTGGCAGGACTATTGGTGCTAAAAGAACCTGATGCTCCACTGGCCACTGTGTGAGAGAGAGAGAGAGAGAGGGAGAGGGAGATATGGGGGAGAGGAGACAGAGAGACAGAGAGACAGAGAGATAGAGGAGAGGGAGGGAGGGAGGGAGGGAGGGAGGGAGGGAGGGAGGGAGGGAGGGAGGGAGGGAGTTAGATATGCATGCAGAACGCTGTTCATCAATATACTCCTATTGATTCATTTATTCATTTATCATGTACTGCAGCTACAGATAGTTCAAAATGGTGTGGTAGATTTCAGACAGATAGAAAAAAAACACAACAGACGTGGCAATTACTATACAGTGCATTCGGAAAGTATTCAGACCCCTTGACATTTTCCACATTTAGTTAGGTTACAGCCTTATTCTAAAATTGATTAAATAAAAAAATGTCCTCATCAATTTACACACAACACCCGATAATGAAAAAGCAAAAACAAATTTTTAGACATTTTTGCAAATTTATTAAAAATAAAAAACATAAATAACTAATTTACATAAGTAGTCAGACCCTTTGCTATGAGACTTGGAAATTTAGCTCAGGTGCATCCTGTTTCCGTTGATCACCCTTGATGTTTCTACATCTTGATTGGAGTCCACCTGTGGTGAATTCAATTGATTGGACAAGGCACACACCTGTCTATATAAGGTCCCACAGTTGACAGAGCAAAAACCAAGCTATGAGGTCGAAGGAATTGTCCGTAGAGCTCCGAGACAAGATTGTGTGGAGGCACAGATCTGGGGAATGGTACCAAACATTTCTGCAGTATTGAAGGTCCCCAAGAACACAGTGGCCTCCATCAATCTTAAATGGAAGAAGTTTGGAACCACCAAGGCCCTTCGTAGAGCTGGCCGCCCTGCCAATTTGAGCAATCGGGGGAGAAGGGGTCAGGGAGGTGACCAAGAACCCGATGGTCACTCTGACAGAGCTCCAGAGTTCCTCTGTGGAGATAGAAGAACCTTCCAGAAGGACAACCATCTCTGCAGCACTCTACCAATCAGGCCTTTATGGTAGAGTGGCCAGACGGAAGCCACTCCTCAGTAAAGGCACATGACAGCCCGCTTGGAGTTTGCCAAAAGGCACCTAAAGGACTCTCAGACCATGAGAACAAGATTTTCTGGTCTGATGAAACCAAGATTGAACTCTTTGGCCTGAATGCCAAGCATCACGTCTGGAGGAAACCTGGCACCATCCCTATGGTGAAGCATGGTGGTGGCAGCATCATGCTGTGGGGATGGTTTTCAGTGGCAGGGACTGGGAGACTAGTCAGGATCGAGGAAAGATGAACGAAGCAAAGTACAGAAAGATCTTTGATGAAAACCTGCACCAGAACGCTCAGGACCTCAGACTGGGATGAAAGTTCACCTTCCAACAGGACAACGACCCTACGCCACAGCCAAGACAACGCAGGAGTGGCTTCGGGACAAGTCTCTGAATGTCCTTGAGTGGCCCAGCCAGAGCCCGGACTTGAACCAGATCAAACATCTCTGGAGAGACCTGAAAAAAGCTGTGCAGCGACGCTCCCCATCCAACTTGACAGAGCTTGAGAGGATCTGCAGAGAAGAATGGGAGAAACTCCCCAAATACAGGTGTGCCAAGCTTGTAGTGTCATACCCAAGAAGAGTCGAGGCTGTAATTGCTGCCAAAGGTGCTTCAACAAAGTACCTGTGAGGACAGACGCTGGGAGACGAGAAGCAAGTACAGAGAGCGAACATTTAATGAAAAAACAGACAGGAACAAAACACAGACAGCGTCTGGACAACGGAAACAAAACAATATTAATGCTGACACCGGGATCAAACAGAGGAACAGACAGATATCGGGGAGGTAATTAAGCCGTGATGAAGTTCAGGGCAGGGGGAGCGGGAGCAGGTCTGACAGTACCCCTCCCCCTCTAGGGACGCCACCCTGGACGAACTTGACGGGCTGGCTGAGGCATGGGAGCCGGCCAAGCCGGCCGAGCGTGGTAACCTGTCGAGCCTGATGGGCCGGCCAAGGCGTGGGAGCCTGGCTAGCCGGCTGAGCTGTGGAAGCCTGACTAGCCGGCTGAGGCATGGAAGCCTGACGAGCCAGCCGAGGTGTGGAAGCCTGACAAGCCGGCCGAGGTGTGGAAGCCTGACGAGCCGGCCGAGGTGTGGAAGCCTGACGAGCCGGCCGAGGCGTGGGAGCCTGACGAACCGGCTGAGGTGTGGAAGCCTGACGGGCCGGCCGAGGCGCGGGAGCCTGGCGAGCCGGCCGAAGCGTGGAAGCCTGACGAGCCGGCTGAGGCGTGGAAGCCTGACGAGCCAGCTGAAGTGTGGAAGCCTGATGAGCCGGCTGAGGCATGGAAGCCTGACGAGCGGGCCGAGGCGCGGTAACCTGTCGAGCCTGACGGGCCGGCTGAGGCATGGGAGCCTGGTGAGCCGGCTGAGGTGTGGAAGCCTGACGAGCCGGCTGAGGCGTGGAAGCCTGACGAGCCGGCTGAGGCATGACGTGGGATGGGAGCCTGCCGAGCCCTCTGAGGCATGGGAGCCTGACGAGCCCGCTGAGGCATGGGAGGCTGATGAACCCGCTGAGGCATGACGTGGGATGGGAGCTTGCCGAGCCAACCGAGGCAAGATAACCTCTCGAGCCAGCTAAGGCATGGAAGCCTGACGAGCCAGCTGAGGCATCCCTGGGTTCCTTCAGCAGCGGCACCCAGACCCGACGTCCCCAACCCAAACAAAAAAACAAAACATTTCTTATAGTAGTGTCAGCATTCTGTAAGGACAGACGCTTGGAAACGAGAAGCAGGTACCAGGTGTGAACATTTAATATAAACAGTACCAGTGAAGCGCTGATGTGTGTAAGGATGGTGACAGGTGTGCGTAATGATGGGCACCCTGGCACCCCACATTTGCATAAATATCGAAAAAACTATTGTGTATAGATAGATGAGGAAAAAACATTTAAATCAATTTTAGAATAAGGCTGTAACGTAACAAAATGTGGAAAAAGTCTATACTGTAGGTTATGTTGTTGTTAGGTGCAGGCGTACCCCGGTGTTTGGCTGTGTCTGTGCCTCTGGAAAGGTTGTTTTTGTGGAGTCCCTCCAACACATCCTGAACTCTCCAGAACTCCTTCTGAATGTGTCTGTGGATCATCTCACTCTGACGGAGGAGAGGAGGGGAGGAGGATGGAGAATAGACAAGGGAAGTAAAGGTGATAAGAGAAGGAGAAAGGAGAGAAGAGTGTTAGAGAAGAAAATTTGAAGTATAATACTGAATAGATCTAATACTGTTAATAACTTGTTGTTATTGTAGTCTTCTACTAGAAAACAAGTTAGAGAGTGATGTAGCAGTGTAACACTCTGGCTCTATGGACGTTTATATTGAGCCAGGGTTGTTCATTTTCTTGTGTTGGGTGTATTTCATTTGGTGGTGTTGGGAATGGGTGAGTCTCATTTTTGTTTGTGTCATGTGGTGATTGGTCGATGACTCCCAATCAGAGGTAACGAGTGTCAGCTGTCGGCTCGTTATCTCTGATTGGGAGCCATATATATTCTGTGTGTTTTCTCCTTTGTTTTGTGGGTTATTGTTCCGTGTTTCAGTATTTGTACTGTGGACTTCACGAGTCGTCTTTTGTTTTGTATTTTACGTGCTTACTCTAATTAAAGTCATGTTCGTTCAACGCGCTGCGCTTTGGTCTCCTTCACTCCTAGACGATCGTGACAGAATAACCCACCACAAAAGGACCAAGCAGCGTAACAAGCGGCAACAAGACCTACCTACACAGGAGTTATGGACGCCTCCTAAGGATTTTTGGACATGGGAGGAGATTCGGGCTGGAAAGGGTCCTTGGGCACAACCGGAGGAATATCACCGCCCTCGTGAAGAGCTGGAGGCAGCCAAAGCCGAGAGGAGGTGGTATGAGGAGGCAGCAAGAAGGCGAGGCTGGAGGCCCGTGGACGAGAGGCAACCCCAAGAAATTTTTTGGGGGGGGCACATGGCTCGGGCAGCTGGGCAGCAGGAGGCTGCCACAGGGAGAAAAGGAGAGAAGGCTAACGGAGTACGGGAGTCATTGGCGAGTAGAGGGAGGGAAGTGTGTGTGGCACGGTGTGAAGGACTGATGTGTGTTGCCAGTCCGGTCCGGCCCGTTCCTGATCCTCGGTTGAGGCCAGTGGTGTGTGTTCCCGGTACGGACCGGCCTGTTCCTACTCCAAGCACCAGGGATACGGTGCGCGTCGCCAGCTCAGCCCGGCCTGTTCCGGCCACTCGCACCAGGGATACGGTGCGCTTCGCCAGCCCGGCCCGGCCTGTTCCGGCCACTCGCACCAGGGATACGGTGCGCGTCGCCAGCCCAGCCCGGCCTGTTCCTACTCCACGCACCAGGGATACGGTGCGCTTCGCCAGCCCGGCCCGGCCTGTTCCGGCCTCTCGCACCAGGGATACGGTGCGCGTCGCCAGCCCAGCCCGGCCTGTTCCTGCTCTCCGCACTAGGCCTTATGTGCGTCCCCAGGGCCAAGCATGCCCTGTTGCTTCTCCCCGCACTAGCCCTGAGATGCGTGTCCTCAGCCCGGTACCTCCAGTTCCGGCACCACGCACCAGGCCTACGGTGCGCCTCAGACGGCCAGAGTCTGCCGTCTGCCCAACGGGGCCTGAACTGTCCGTCTGCCCAACGCCGTCTGAACTGCCCGTCTGCCCAACGGCGCCTGAACTGCCCGTCTGCCCAACGCCGTCTGAACTGCCCGTCTGCCCAACGCCGTCTGAACTGCCCGTCTGCCCAACGGCGCCTGAACTGCCCGTCTGCCCAACGCCGTCTGAACTGCCCGTCTGCCCAACGCCGTCTGAACTGCCCGTCTGCCCAACGGCGCCTGAACTGCCCGTCTGCCCAACGCCGTCTGAACTGTCCGTCTGCCCAACGCCGTCTGAACTGCCCGTCTGTACTGAGCCTGCAAAGCCGCCCGTCTGCCATGAGCCTTCAGAGCCGTCCGCCAGACCGGAGCCGCTAGAGCTCTCCGCCAGACAGGATCAGCCATAGCCTTCCGCCAGACAGGATCAGCCAGAGCCTTCCGCCAGACAGGATCAGCCAGAGCCTTCCGCCAGACAGGATCAGCCAGAGCCTTCCGCCAGACAGGATCAGCCAGAGCCTTCCGCCAGACAGGAGCAGCCAGAGCCTTCCGTCAGACCGGATCAGCCAGAGCCTTCCGCCAGACCGGATCAGCCAGAGCCTTCCGCCAGACAGGATCAGCCAGAGCCTTCGGCCAGACAGGATCAGCCAGATCCGTCAGCCTGCCATGAGCAGCCAGATTCGTCAGCCAGCCATGAGCAGCCAGATCCGTCGGCCAGCCATGAGCAGCCAGATCCGTCGGCCAGCCATGAGCAGCCAGATCCGTCGGCCAGCCAGGAGCAGCCAGATCCGTCAGCCAGCCATGAGCAGCCAGATCCGTCAGCCAGCCATGAGCAGCCAGATCCGTCAGCCAGCCATGAGCAGCCAGATCCGTCAGCCAGCCATGAGCAGCCAGATCCGTCAGTCAGCCATGAGCAGCCAGATCCGTCAGCCAGCCATGAGCAGCCAGATCCGTCAGCCAGCCAGGATCAGCCAGAGCCGGCCAGCCAGGATCCGCCAGAGCCGTCCAGCCAGGATCAGCCAGAGCCGGCCAGCCAGGATCCGCCAGAGCCGGTCAGCCCGGATCCGCCAGAGCCGTCCAGCCCGGATCCGCCAGAGCCGTCCAGCCCGGATCCGCCAGAGCCGTCCAGCCAGGATCAGCCAGAGCCGGCCAGCCAGGATCCGCCAGAGCCGGTCAGCCCGGATCCGCCAGAGCCGTCCCGCCAGGATCCGCCAGAGCCGTCCAGCCAGGATCAGCCAGAGCCGGCCAGCCAGGATCCGCCAGAGCCGGTCAGCCCGGATCCGCCAGAGCCGTCCCGCCAGGATCCGCCAGAGCCGTCCAGCCTGGATCCGCCAGAGCCGTCCAGCCTGGATCCGCCAGAGCCGTCCCGCCAGGATCCGCCAGTGTCGTCCAGCCTGGATCCGCCAGAGCCGTCCCGCCAGGATCCGCCAGAGTCGTCCCGCCAGGATCCGCCAGAGCCGTCCCGCCAGGATCCGCCAGAGCCAGCCAGCCAGGATCCGCCATCTAGTCAGGTACTGCCCCTTAGCCCGGTGCTGCCCCTTAGTCCTGTACTGCCCTTCAGCCCGGTGCTGCCCCTTAGTCCGGTGCTGCCCCTGAGTCCGGTGCCGCCCCTTAGCCCGGTGCTGACCCGTAGTCCGGTACTGCCTCTTAGCCCGGTGCTGCCCTTGAGTCCGGTGCTGCCCCTTGTCCCGGTGCTGCCCCTTATCCCGGTGCTGCCCCTTAGTCCGGTGCTGCCCCTTAGTCCGGTACTGCCCCGTAGTCCGGTGCTGCCCCTTGTCCCGGTGCTGCCCCTTATCCCGGTGCTGCCCCTGAGTCCGGTGCCGCCCCTTAATCCTGTGGGGTTGAGTTGGGGGGTGGTCATGAGGAAGGGAGGACGGAAGCGGAGAGTGACTAAGGTGGGATGGGGACCACGACCAGAAGCAGAACCGCCACCGTGGACAGACGCCCACCCAGACCCTCCCCTAGACTGTATGCTGGTGCGCCCGGAGTTCGCACCTTTAGGGGGGGGTACTGTAACACTCTGGCTCTATGGACGTTTATATTGAGCCAGGGTTGTTCATTTTCTTGTGTTGGGTGTATTTCATTTGGTGGTGTTGGGAATGGGTGAGTCTCATTTTTGTTTGTGTCATGTGGTGATTGGTCGATGACTCCCAATCAGAGGTAACGAGTGTCAGCTGTCGGCTCGTTATCTCTGATTGGGAGCCATATATATTCTGTGTGTTTTCTCCTTTGTTTTGTGGGTTATTGTTCCGTGTTTCAGTATTTGTACTGTGGACTTCACGAGTCGTCTTTTGTTTTGTATTTTACGTGCTTACTCTAATTAAAGTCATGTTCGTTCAACGCGCTGCGCTTTGGTCTCCTTCACTCCTAGACGATCGTGACAAGCAGCAGTTAGGTGTCTCAGTGAGAGAGTGACACCAGGTAGCCTTATTGTCTAAGAAAATAACAAGGTCTCATACATGCATTAGTGTACGCTGTAAGTAAATGTAGCAAAACATTTCGCAAAGGAAACCCAAAACATGTTTTTTTGTTTATTGGACTAGTTCAGGTACTCCCTCCCCGTTTTGGCCCGTTTGCTTCCGTTTCATTCCTAATGAATAGGACATTGTTTTACTGAGTGGGTCACAGACATGGCATTCTTATGGACAGTCTCTTAACAGTTCACCACTATGAGCCAGGTGATACTCCATGGAGAGGAGGGGCAGTCAGGTGTTTAATGGGGCAGGTTGACTGTACTTTATACATTCTAGATAATATCATCAGAAGTATGATGATAAATAGGACATGATGACAATTAATGTTTGTGTTAATTTATTATTGATGAGTGATTCCTATTCTGTTTAAATGATTGATTAGGAGGAAGGGTTGGACTCAGCTATTAACAAGCTAGGATAACACTGTGGTAAGTGACTGGAAATTAGCCAATGAACAGCCATATAAACTCTAAAATGGAACCATACAGGTGGGGTTATGAGCAGGTGCGATTATAGGATCAGTTCCATTCTAGTCATTTAATTTCTAGGCTCCATATTCAGTGTTCGACTGGCGACTAGTTAGAAACACAGGTTTTGGTAACTTTGTACGCCACAATAAAACATCAGAAGCTTTAGGTGGGTCATAGAGTTTGTGGTCAGTGTGGGGTCAAGATGAAGAGAGGGTGTCCGTGTACCTGCCCGCCTGTGTTGAGCTGTTCCCACAGGTCTCCATGGATAGCATTGACCTCGTCCTCCAAAGTTTCAAACTCCATCCGGGTGGTGGTCAGAACCTGGGGACAGCAGGGGAGAGAACATACACTCAGACCCTGGAACACACACTCAGACCCTGGAACACACACTCAGACCCTGGAACACACACTCAGACCCTGGAACACACACTCAGACCCTGGAACACACACTCAGACCCTAGAAGACACACTCAGACCCAGGAACACACACTCAGACCCAGGAACACACATTCAGACCGTGGACACACACTCAGACCCTAGAACACACACTCAGACCCTAGAACACACATTTAGACCCTGGAACTATAAATATTATCAGGGTTTTTCCAAAATCAAAAAGGGGCTTAGGTGGTGGGTGTGGCAGTAGGCACAGTTTTTCCTACGCATGAGAAACCCTGACTGTATGCTGAAACCTCTTGCCTTATAGTCACTTTCTAAAGCAACCATTGACTTTACAATATCTATCACACTGGAGTAGGAGAGTTGTCCTCTGATTGTGATCAGATTTGATAGATTATAGATTATAGATGAGATACTGTTATATTTTAGATTCATCCTCCATATCTCTTACACAGGATACCTTAAAGGGATCTCCTTGATTTACTTATAGATTATAGATGATATAAAATTGGTACAGGTTAGTCGAGGTAGGGGTAAAGTGACTATGCATAGATAATAAACAGCGAGTAGCAGCAGTGTAAAAACAAATGGAGGGGGAGGTGTCAATGTAAATAGTCTGGGTGGCCATTTGATTAATTGTTCAGCAGTTTTATGGCTTGGGGGTAGAAGCTGTTAAGGAGCCTTTTGGTCCTAGACTTGGCGCTCCGGTACCACTATGGATTATCATGGATTATCCCTGGCTATGTGTCTTTCTTACGCTGGATGCCTGGGAGAGTTCTCCTCTGATGTTGATGAGCTGGTTCTGCAGTTTCTCCTTCTTCAGCTGTAGTTTGTCTGCAGCCAACGGCTGACCCCGGTACAGCTCCATCTCCTGGTGCGTGGCCACCAGTGCTCCCTCTAGGCTGTCCTGGGAACAGCAGGTAACAGGGGACATGTCAGACCATGTTTGGCTACTTTTATGGAGTAGGGTGAAGTTGCCCCTAGACACTGACCTTAGGTCAGTTTTGCATACTCACTAATGGTAAAGGTTAGGATTTGGGGGTGGGGAAGCTGATTCTAAATCTTTACCAAGGGGAAACTGCACCCCAGAGCGTACTTCTCTGTTTACTTTCTTTAGCAGCTTTGTATTTTATAGCATTATTCTGGATTGATATGACATAACATATAGACATTTACTACCTACATTTAATAACAGAAGCCATAAGACACCTCACACGCCACATATAACACGTTACATTGTAAATACCATGACTGCCTTGTTTTTATTGTCCTTGTCATGGGACATAATCTAGGTGTCATTTCGTAGCAGGATATACCAGTAGACATGCTGTGTCTTCAGCTGGACTCGCCTGGACTTTGCAATGTTTAGAATGCTGGAGCTGGTAGAGTACTAGGGGAAGTTTTTAGTGTTAGTGGTAAAAGGTCTCTATCTACCTTGTCCATCCTCAGCCTGTGGACCACTGCCTCCTGGTCCTTTAGAATACTGTTCTGCTCACACAGACGACCCAGAAGTTTCTAGAGAGAGAGAGAGAGAGAGAGAGAGAGAGAGAGAGAGAGAGAGGCAGTTTATTAAAATGGCAGTGAACAAATTAAGCAATTTTGCCATTGGAAGGAGGGTGTTTGCAGGAGAGAGGAAGGTGGCTGAAGGTTGATTGTTTAGGATAAGAGGAGTGAGGCTGTTTATGGGATAGTTAGATGGAGGGACCCAGCCTTACACTGGTCTCCATCTCGTTGCGTTTCAGTGTGGGGTGCAGCTCCCTGTAGGGGTCATGGAACTGAGGCACCTGGGAAAACAGAGACAGGACTCTTAATACTTATATTATATCAACCAGAACCCTATTCAAACTAATTCTTCATAGACCAAACTAATCCTTCACAGACCAAGGGTTTGTAAAACAACCCACACATCATTTTACAGATGGCTTCAGTGAGCCATTGGAATGGCCCAGACCCACCCAGTTGTGAACAACACTTTATCAATGGCGTAGCACAGAACAGAACCAGTGTAACAACACAATACCATACCATGTGCATAGTACATACATAGTATATCACAGTACATATCACATCGGTATTAATACTGAACAAATAAGATAATAACAAAACAATAACAAACATAAAAACATATTAATCTGTGTTGTTTACAGTATGGAGCAGACAGAGCGGGTGATTTTGTTTGGCCCCCCCATTTTTTCTGCGCATTTTATTTAGCCCCCCTCCCAAGTTTTTTAAATGTTTTATTGTTGGACATAAAATACTGTAAAAACACCAGCAAGTCAGCTCCAAGTGATTTTAATTTTGGAAATCTAATCTAAAGTATTTCCACACATTTGGCCTTCTTGCAGTCAATTTGCATTCTACAAATTATTTGTAATTATGTTCTGGCCATCCGTTCAATAAATAATCGCCCCGCGGCTAAATCAAGTTGATGATCCCTGCATTAGGGTGAGCTGGAATGCTAACCCCCTCTGTCAAAATGTCAAAGGTCATATCCAGGTCATCTATGTCAGTTTTTCCCAACCCTGGTCCTCGAGTGTACCCCCCAACAGTACACACTTTTATTGTAACCCTGGACAAGCACACCTGATTCAAGTTATCAACTAATCATCAAGCCCTCAATGAGTTGAATGAGGTGTGTTTGTCAAGGACTGCAATTAAACTGTGTACTGTTGGGGGTACTCGAGGACCAGGGTTTGGAAACACTGATCTATGTCCTTATGGAGGACTGTGATTGGATGGTATACAAAGGAGGATATGACATCACAGAGGGAGGGTGGTTGGGGGTGTTATGAAGCATTGACACACTATTAGGCTACAGCACAAGACAGGATATGACATAAAACACAGATGGGAATACAAAGAAACATAAAGCACTGTGAAGCAACATGGAGAACAAAAATTGCAAACAAATTGGTAAGACAAAGAAACCAAAAGCCAGTTCTGTGGAGAGAGTCTAGCGTCTAAAATCCACATGCTAGAATTGAGGAATGGAGAGAGGAGAGAGAGGCAGGCTTGGCCTGTGTATAGCTTGGGGGAGACTATGGAGTGGGAGGGGAAAATCATTCACCTTGATTCTGTCTAGACTACAGCTGAGCCTCCTACCCTAAATCACTAGTGACTAGAAAAGCCCTGAAGAGGGCAGTAGTTGGCATCTGTGGAAAGAGAGAGCCTGCACAAGGAGTTACACTAAGATACCAGAAACCATGTGGCTACAAGGCAAGTGGAAAACAATCTGTGCTACAGCAATCCAGACATCTTGGAAAAGCGTTAGTAAGCTGAAGTGTAGAGGAGACATTTACAGACATTTACAGTTCTTATTACATAGATACAGTGCATTCGGAAAGTATTCAGACCCCTTGCCTTTTTCCACATTTTGTTGCATTACAGCCTTATTCTAAAATGGATAAAATATTTTTTCCCTCATCAATCTACACACAATACCCCATAATGACAAAGTGAAAACTGATTTTTAGAAATGTTTGCAAATGTATAAAAAAAAAATAAACATAAATATCTTATTTACATAAGTATTGAGACCCTTTGCTATGACACTCGAAATTGAGCTCAGGTGCATCCTGTTTCCATTGTTCATCCTTGAGATGTTTCTACAACTTGATTGGAGTCCACCTGTGGTAAATTCAATTGATTGGACATGATTTGGAAAGGCACACACCTGTCTATATAAGGTCCCACAGTTGACAGTGCATGTCAGAGCAAAAACCAAGACATGAGGTCGAAGGACAGGCACAGCTCTGGGGATGGGTACCAAAAAATTTTTGCAGCATTGAAGGTCCCCAAGAACACAGTGGCCTACATCATTCTTAAATGGAAGAAGTTTGGAACCACCCAGACCCTTCCAGAGCTGGCCGCCCGGCCAACCTGAGCAATCGAGGGAGAAGGGTCTTGGTCAGGGAGGTGGCCAAGAACCCAATGGTCACTCTGACAGAGATCCAGAGTTCCTTTGTGGAGATGGGAGAACTTCCCAGAAGGACAACCATCTCTGCAGAACTCCACCAATCAGGCCTTTATGGTAGAGTGGCCAGACGGAAGCCACTCCTCAGTAAAAGGCACACGACAGCCTGCTTGGAGTTTGCCAAAAGGCACCTAAAGGACTCTCAGACGATGAGAAACAAGATACTCTGGTCTGATGAAACCAAGATTGAACTCTTTGGCCTGAATGCCAAGCGTCATGTCTGGAGGAAACCTGACACCATTCCTACAGTGAAGCATGTTGACAGCAGCATCATGCTGTGGGGATGGTTTTCAGCGGCAGGGACTGGGAGACTAGTCAGGATCGAGGGAAATATAGTACAGACAGATCCTTGATGAAAACCTGCTCCAGAGCGCTCAGGACCTGAACCCGATTGAACATCTCTGGAGAGACCAGAAAATAGCTGTCTAGCGACTCTCCCCATCCAACCTGACAGAGCTTGAGAGGATCTGCAGAGAATAATGGGAGAAACTCCCCAAATACAAGTGTGCCAAGCTTGTAGTATCATACCCAAGAAGACTCAAGGCTGTAATCGCTGCCAAAGGTGCTTCAACAAAGTACTGAGTAAAGGGTCTGAATACTTATGTAAATGTGATATTTCCGTAAAAAAATATATACAAAAATGGACAGTGTGTTTTGCCCCAGGTGACCGGTGAAAATCACCTTATCGGCATGGTAACCAGAATGGTGGAGCGATCCTCCTCTAGAGCAAATCTCTTCTCACAAGTACGAGAGGAGAGAGTGTCCCAGAGAGGCAGGCTTCAGCTAGACCCACAGGCCCCACAAACAGTGGTCCCAAAATGATTTTCTTTCCACTGGGACTTTGCACATGAGTCACCAAGTAAATACAAATCATGTTTCTAACCATGACCCAGTCAAGCCATAACCCAAAGGAAGGCAGTTCCAACCCACTATTTGGGAAACATAAAGACCCCTATACCCTCACAATGTTCCCCTTCCCCTAATACTGATACTAAGATACATGTACAGTGCATTCGGAAAGTATTCAGACCCCTTGAATCAAATTGGTTAAATCGAAGAGACAACTTTCTGTTTGTGTATAATGTTCAACAAAGAGTTCCAGTGTTGTTGTAGAGTGATCTGATGGGGTGTGTATAGTGAGCACTAGAAACTGGTCATTATCATAAGGTGTAAGCAGTCAGTGACAGTGAGACAGAGGAGAGAGGATAACAGTGGGAGTGAATGTGGAATGTGATTGTGAGAAACAACAGGTTTTTAGCAGGTAGCAGTGTGGACAACGTGGACAATACATCTGAATGCTGTGGCAAACATCCCACAAATGCTGTCAACCACACTATGTGAGAGGTTTAATATAACCAACAGTTTATGGATGATGCTAATGTCATTCTTCTCATCTTCTCACGACTTCTAGACTCATCCTTCCCCACCCTTCTCTGTACTCAGTAGCTAAGTTACCAAGCTTTCAAACTGGGCACAAACTGGTTGAATCAACGTTGTTTCCAAGTAATTTGTTAGTTACCAAGCTTTCACAATGTATTGTGACATAGCACGTATGTGTAAAATGCATTGGATTTTGTTTGGTGTGTGAGTGTTCCTGTGCATCGGTAGAGGTAGAGGTAGTGGTAGAGGTGTGTCCAGAGATGCCTATGGCACGTACCTGTTGATCAAGGTACTCCAGGTTTCTCTGGAGCTGCAGGTCTAAAATGTCCTCCTGATACAAGTAGCAGTAGTGACAGCAGCAGTGACAAGGACGAGGACAGTGCAAGACCCAGTACCAGAGACACCAGTGAAACCAGTAGCAACAGCATCAGTGGCACCAGCAGACGCAGAGTCAAATACAAAGAGTGTAAGGAGAGAGAGTTGTGTGTGTAGAGAGAAAGACAGAGTAACAGAGACATAAATAAAGAAAGAGACAGACAGAGAAAGAGAGAGTGACAGAGTGACAGAGACAAAACAAAAGATAGACAGAAAGAGAGAAGGGAGACAGGGAGGACAGACATAAGAACTCACACCAGATACAGCAGCAAAGTGCAGCTATAGCATACCTTTAGAGACGCTGCAGATCATATTTTAAGCACAGGTAGCTGTCGAGGACAATATTCCCGCTAAGCACGTGTAGGTGTGTGAAAGTGTGTGTGAGTGCTGTAGTCAAGTGTCTCACAATCTTGACACTGGACTCATTGTTTCTTGATAGTGTAACACGCTTTGGGAGGACATACCATTTTGCTGTGGAGAGAAGGGGAGGCAGGGTTGTTGTAGTGGTACATTCCTTGGCTTAGCGACCTCCTGTCTCCAGGGTAATCATACTGAAATAAGAGAAATAACCAGGATGTTCTAAGATCACTGTGATTTTGGGCTAGCAACAGAAAGACAAATCTTCTCCAATTAACACATCTACCATCGATTGGTCTTTTTCCCAGAAAAGTATCGTCAGACATAACAAACATACCCTGACATCACACACATCGCGCGCATACACACACACCCTCTCCCCTCTCTCACCTTGGGTGAGCTCAGTGATCTCCTCAGTCCGTACACAGAGGGGTCAGCGTAGATCACATCCTCCTGTAGCCTGCTTGGTCCTCTGTCAAACCGGGCCGAGGGCGAGTGGACGGGCGAGGCAAAGCTATGAGGGCCGGGTGAGTAGGGACCACCCGAGGATGAGGAGGGGGACCTGGGGACGGACCTAGACCTGGGCTGAATGGAGAGACGCCTCATGGAGGTCTGTGCTGCATCCATCTGGCTGTAATAGGCAGGGCCGGGTGGGGGGCTGTATGGGTCTCGAGGGGGCGGGAGTCCGTAGAGGGGAGGTCCGTCCCGTAGTGAGCATCTCTTCTCCTCGTTGGTCCAGCGAGGGGGGCCCAGGCGGTCGTAGCCCACGGCTGACACAGAGCAGATGCTGTCGGGGCGTACGCCCGGCGGGTAGAGGGGGTACTCCTCCACGTAGCCAGGACCGCCCCCCACGCTATCGTAGACGCTGTAGTAGTCAGCTGGCACACCCCGGTTCACTGTGTAGTAACGGGAGGTACTGGGGGAGGAGAGAGAGAGACAGAGAGATGGTTGAAGGGAGACTCAGTTTACACACGCAAATAACATCTACCCCTTCGCCTCTACCCCGCTTGTAGCCTTCACGTAGCTCTGGATCCCGCCCGGTCTCTTATCGAGCCGGACTGCTGGAGTTGCGGAAACCTACACGCAGATGCCTCTGCTCTCGCAAGTTGACTCTCTTCTAGTGTTGACACCGCTTACAAACTAAATCTACTACTCCTATCTACTCTGACTCTATCTTATTCTCTCGTCTCTATTATCAACCGCCTAAGACCCCAAGCATTCGCGCTCGCAGGACTCAGATCACCCAGCATCATGAGAGAGATCACTCATCCGAGAGCATGAGACGAGACTAGCTCCCTCTCACTAACTCCCCCTAACTCAGAGTCTCCTCTGAATCTTGAACAGGGTGCCGATATCATCTTCTGACAATCAAGACTTCTAACTATACTCACCGATCCTCTGAGCTACCTCAAATCTCAACCATTAAGCCCGACCGAACACAGAGTCACGACACAGACTCTCGCTCCCTCTTCTCTCCTCTCTCTCCTCTCTTCTGTCTCTCTCTCGTCTCTCTCTCTCTCTCCTCTCTCTCTCCTCTCTCCCTCTCTCTCTCATCTCTCGTCTCTCTCGTCTCTCTCTCCTCCTCTCTCCTTCTCTCTCTCTCTCTCTCTCTCTCTCTCTCTCTCTCTCTCTCTCTCTCTCCCACCTGTTCATGTCCTCCTGTACAGCCACGACTCTGCGCTGGTTGACCCACTGCTGTAGATAGGTCATGGAGCTCTTCCTCTGGGCCTGTCTCTCAGGGTTCGTCCGTGGCACGAAGCCCCGTCTCAGGACCACATTCTCCGGCTGCTCCCTCATCTCCCTCCCCTCTCTCATCCCTCCCTCTGGAGGTCCCTGGGGTGGCCGCCCGTTATCCTGGTGGGGTCCGTTTCCATGGTGAGGGGGCCCGTTTGGGGGACCGTAGGGGCCCCACCCGTTGGGCTGGTGATGGGGATGGGGTGCAGGTCCTGGCCCTCCTCTCTCCCCCCTCTCCCCTCTCTCTACCCCCATCCTCCCCTCCTGCTCTGAGGGGCTGGTGGAGGGAAGGGCCATTTCCATGGCGTCAACCCCGTTGACCTTGTGATGGGCGGGTTTTCGTGGTCCACGCTCTGTGTCTTGGAGGTCTGTCGTCTGGCCGTTGTCCTTGATGTATGTGTGTGTCTGGGTGTGTGGTTCAGGTCCTTTGGTTACCAAGGTGTTACCATGGAGTTCCGCTGTGGGTGTGGTGGCCTCTGAGTTGGTGGTCCTGTGGGGAAGGGAGAGAGTTAGTGTGTGTGTGTTTGTGTGTGTGTGTGTGTATTTGAACTTGTATTTGTATTCATTATGCATCCCCATTGGCAGATGCCAAGGCAGCAGCTACTCTTCCTGGGGTCCAGCAAAAATTAAGGCAGTAATATACATTATAATATATATATTTTTACATTAAAATACATTTTACAACAGATTTCACAATACATTAAGTGTGTGTGTGTGTGCGTGCGTGCTTGCTTACGTGTGTGTGTTTGCGTGCTTACGTGTTTGTGTGTGTGCGTGCGTGCTTGTGCGTGTGCGTGCTTACGTGTGTGTGTTTGTGTGCGTGCGTGCTTGCTTGTACAGTATGTGTGTATACCTCCATGAAGGCTGTATCTGGACAGCCTCGTTCATAGCGTCGACCCACTCCTCCTGTTCCTCAGCAGTCTCAGCGCTGAAGTAGTACGTGCGTGTTCCTGCGTGTTCAGCCTGCATACAGAACACAATGTGGCCCTTAATCTCACCTTCCTCCTCCTCCTCTTCCTCGTACCAAACCTGTAACAGACAGAGAGGAGACGTTAGCCAGAGCTTTCCTCATATGAAACATCATCAGTAGCAGCATCATCATCAAACACTGTGATGCAAAAAAACACACACAGGTCTCAAACACATGCATGTATTTTAATGTTGCATTGAATGATTGTCAATGACCAACAAACACAGCTTGACTAATACACAGCTTGACTAATACATAGCTTGACTAGTACACAGCTTGACTAGTAGAGTGGAGTAAGATGAAACAGCTGTGTTTACTTTGCAGCACAAAACGTTTAATTGACTGATGTATTGGTGAGTAGTCACAACATTCAAACCACAGTCAGTTTGGATTACTCAGAAAACAGCCAGGTTAGTGATGAGTATCCAGCCTTTAGATGGCACTGCAGCTTTAAAGGATAGTTATATCAATGAAGCCATTCAGAACTCAGTAAATGGTTGTATTCGAGAGGATCAAATATGTGATGCATTGTGGATAAATTGTGACTGACTGACTGACTGATCTACAAAAAATAATAAGTAGTTGTTTATGACGAAAGGTGATTTGTAGATCAGTCAATCGTGTCTTACCTGCAGTGCTGCTTGCAATGTCAAAGCCCAATAACATGCCCAATAACATGCAGTATAAAAACATTGTCTGGATCCACAGACTCTTGACAGTAAAACCAACCAGGTGAATCTAGCTTCTCACTCTTTAACAGTTAGTGACCAACACCATGCAGTGAACAGAGTAACCATGCAGTGAGCAGAGTAACCATGCAGTGAGCAGAGTAACCATGCAGTTGGGAGAATGAGAAGAGAAAGGGTGAATAAAGGGTGAATACTACCTACATGGAACAAGATCATCTGGGGAACTCTACAATGGAGGACAGCTATGCTCAGGGGGTCCTCGCAGGTTGGGGAAAGAGGAAGGAGAGGATAAATTGGTGAGGGTCAGAGGTTATAAAGGTGAATGTTCAGAGGTCAGAGCACATTGATTGGAGGGGTACCCAGAGGGTTAGGGTAGGAAAGGGGTAACGGTAAGGGTGAGGGTCCTAGAGAGAAAGGTAAGGGTCATAACCTAGACAGAGGTAAGTTAAGGGTCATATCCTAGACAGAGGTAAGTTAAGGGTCAAATCTTAGACAAAGGTAAGTTAAGGGTAATATTCTAGACAGAGGTAAGTTAAGGGTAATATATTAGACAGAGGTAAGTTAATGGTTATATCCTAGACAGAGGTAAGTTAAGGGTCATATCCTAGACAGAGGTAAGGGTAAGGATCATATCCTAGACAGAGGTAAGGGTAAGGATCCTATCCTAGACAGAGGTAAGTTAATGGTTATATCCTAGACAGAGGTAAGTGAAGGGTTATATCCTAGACAGAGGTAAGGGTAAGGATCATATCCTAGACAGAGGTAAGGGTAAGGATCCTATCCTAGACAGAGGTAAGGGTAAGGATCATATCCTAGACAGAGGTAAGTTAAGGGTCATATCCTAGACAGAGGTAAGGGTAAGGATCATATCCTAGACAGAGGTAAGTTAAGGGTCATATCCTAGACAGAGGTAAGGGTAAGGATCATATCCTAGACAGAGGTAAGTTAAGGGTCATATCCTAGACAGAGGTAAAGGTAAGGATCATATCCTAGACAGAGGTAAGTTAAGGGTCATATCCTAGACAGAGGTAAGGGTAAGGATCATATCCTAGACAGAGGTAAGTTAAGGGTCATATCCTAGACAGAGGTAAGGGTAATGATCATATCCTAGACAGAGGTAAGGGTAATGATCATATCCTAGACAGAGGTAGGGGTAAGGATCATATCCTAGACAGAGGTAAGGGTGCAGTGAGACTTATAAACTCAGCAAAATAAGAAACTTCCTCTCACTGTCAACTGCGTTTATTTTCAGCAAACTTAACATGTGTAAATATTTGTATGTACATAACAAGATTCAACAACTGAGACAAGTTCCACAGACATGTGACTAACAGAAATTGAATAATGTGTCCCTGAACAAAGGGGGGGTCAAAAGTAGCAGTCAGTATCAGGTGTGGCCACCAGCTGCATTAAGTACTGCAGTGCATCTCATCCTCATGGACTGCACCAGATTTGCCAGTTCTTGCTGTGAGATGTTACCCCACTCTCCCACCAAGGCACCTGCAAGTTCCCAGACATTTCTGGGGGGAATGGCCCTGGCCCTCACCCTCCGATCCAACAGGTCCCTGTTCGCTCTTCGCTGGCCATGGCAGAACACTGACATTCCTCTCTTGCAGGAAATCATGCACAGAATGAGCAGTATGGCTGGTGGCATTGTCATGCTGGAGGGTCATGTCAGGATGAGCCTGCAGGAAGGGTACCACATGAGGGAGGAGGATGTCTTCCCTGTAACGCACAGTGTTGAGATTGCCTGCAATGACAACAAGCTCAGTCCGATGATGCTGTGACACACCGCCCCAGACCATGACGGACCCTCCAAATCAATCCCCCTCCAGAGTACAGGCCTCGGTGTAACGCTCATTCCTTCGACGATAAACGCGAATCCGACCATCACCCCTGGTGAGACAAAACCGCTACTTGTCAGTGAAGAGCATTTCTGCCAGTCCTGTCTGGTCCAGCGACGGTGGGTTTGTGCCCATAGGCGACGTTGTTGCCGGTGATGTCTGGTGAGGACCTGCCTTATAACAGGCTTACAAGCCCTCAGTCCAGCCTCTCTCAGCCTATTGCGGACAGTCTGACCACTGATGGAGGGATTGTGCGTTCCTGGTGTAACTTGGGCAGTTGTTGTTACCATCCTGTACCTGTCCCGTAGGTGTGATGTTCGGATGTACCGATCCTGTGCAGGTGTTGTTACACGTGGTCTGCCACTGTGAGGACGATCAGCTGTCCATCCTGTCTCCCTGTAGCGCTGTCTTAGGCGTCTCACATTACGGACATTGCAATTTATTGCCCTGGCCACATCTGCAGTCCTCATGCCTCCTTGCAGCATGCCTAAGGCACATTCACGCAGATGAGCAGGGACCCTGGGCATCTTTCTTTTGGTGTTTTTCAGAGTCAGTAGAAAGGCCTCTTTAGTGTCTTAAGTTTTCATAACTGTGACCTTAATTGTCTACCATCTGTAAGCTGTTAGTGTCTTAACGACCGTTCCACAGGTGCATGTTCATTAATTGTTTATGGTTCATTGAACAAGCATGGGAAACAGTGTTTAAACCCTTTACAATGAAGATCTGTGAAGTTATTTGGATTTTTTACAAATTATCTTTAAAAGAAAGGGTCCTGACAAAGGGACGTTTCTTTTTTGCTGAGTTTATGTCTCATATTTCTGTGAAACTCAAGGATCCACAAATACCCTGCAACCACTGGTATCCTGAAAGAAAAACGGGTTAATAAGGAGAAAATACATCCATTAGCCTTCTCTTGTCTTCCCTGGTGCCATTGTGATTGGTAAAATAGCTCACACCTCGTTCTAATCTACACAACATCAACATGCAAAGGTAACGTCGGTGATATTTACTGAAATGTCTCTCATCTGCCACATGAGGGCAGTAGAACCATATCAGTTTCAGAGATACGTGTAGAAGGAGAACTATAATAGTAATTATTATATATTATTATATTGTGCATTATCTTGTTACATCACAAGTCAACAGAGATAAATAAGATAACTATGATCAGTTACTGAGCTAAAAGGGCACAGGTGCGCAGAAAAACAAATCTGATGTGCCCTAAAAGGTGCAAGAAAGTTGAGCAGTACAATGGTTTGTTTCTATGTACCTAGTTCAAAACATGTAATTTTGTAGGCATAGTACCTATTCTGTCAGTTACATATAGACCTTAGACACGTGCACACTGATCCTACATGACCACAGTCATCTTTGACACAGTACAGATAAGGCAATAATACACATAGGAACATACTAATAGATAAAGCACTATGTCAAAGGTCACGGTCCCTAACTACTATACGGAGACTAAAACCATCCATTTGTCACTAGGTGTTTAACCGCAACGCAAAGCCCCCAACGAGAGCAAGCCAAGGCAACAAGGAATAACCCTAATCAGGAAGGCATGAGAGGAACCCCATCCTCTCCCTTGCCTTTTCTTGCCTCAACTCACACCTGACAAACTCCTCAACTAGAAACCCCTGAAGTATTTGGTATACATGTGAGGAATACTGCCTCTTACAGTAGTACATGGTACTGGCTGGCCGCTGTCATACGGAGACATAGGGAGGCAGGGAGTGCCTTGTCTCGTGTAGCCATACTTCAAAAAAATAAAATAATAATAATAATAGATTAATGGCGCCGGAGCAGATGGCTGCCGTTTTACAGCCCTCTAACCAATTGTACTATTATGTGTGTTTTTCCGCGTTATTTGTAATTTATTTTGTACATAATGTTTCTGCCATCGTCTCTTATAACCAAAAAGAGCTTCTGGATATCAGGACAGCGATTACTCACCTCATATTGGACGAAGATTTTTTCTTCAACGAGAGGGCCGCGAAAGATATCCTACAGACACCCGACAAGGCCCAAATCTCCGTCATTCGCATGAGGAAGAGATGGAGATATCGTGGACGTAGGTCGGGGTGCCTTGTAAGGATCCGACGGCGAGCGAGTAAACTGCCTCTCCCATCAATCCTATTAGCCAATCTTCAATCATTTGAGAATAAATGGGATGACCTAAGATTTCCAACGGGACATTAAAAACTGTAATATCTTATGTTTCACGAGTCGTGGCTGAACGACGACATGGACAACATACAGCTAGCGGGCTATACGCTACATCGGCAGGATAGAACGGCTGACTCCGGTAAGACAAGGGGTGGCGGTCTGTGTATATTTGTAAACAACAGCTGGTGCACAAAATCAAATACTAAGGATGTCTCGAGGTTTTGCTCGCCTGAGGTAGAGTATCTTATGATAAGCTGTAGATCACATTATTTACCAAGAGAGTTTTCATCTATATTTTTCATAGCTGTCTATTTACCACCACAAACCAATGCTGGCATTAAGATTGCACTGAATGAG